GGCTCGGGCCTCCTGATGGAGGTTCTCCCAGTTCACCACACTCCTCCTCAGGACCTGGGGCTGGCTGACCTTGATGTGCCCGGTTTCTTCGTCAGCCAAATGGTACTACATCTCTCAGAGGAGTGTTGGGGGTTTAAATCAGTTACAGTTTATGTGAAGAGCTTGGCTGGTGAGACTTTGTCCAGATGTTTGCAAGATGGCAGCACCAGTAACATCTTGGCCATAAATGAGTGACTTGGCACGTTTGGGCGGTCCAGAGCGGGATGCTCTAAGACCAAAATCGGCATCTTTCACGTTCAGAACTGAGCAGCATGGCTCCCAGAGTGTCTGCCGAAGGCCCCAGAGATAAATTGTAGAGGGTGTAAATCTCACAGAGATAGCAGTGGTCTGTTCATTGGCGTGTCCAGGATGCCCTGCCCCCCCAGCCTCCCTCTGCATTGAGGGGCGCGTGGTGGAAACCCAGTCAGTGACCGTTCTTGCGTCCCCTGCACCCGTGGAAAGCCACGCTCCTGCTTGGAAATTCCCAGGTTCATCCTGGCCCACAGGAGCTGGCTTTGCTGCCTGCCTCAGCGGTCGCGTCTGCCCACCGGGGTGAGTGACCGACCACCACTATGCAGCACTGTGGAGCCAAGGGAGGTGAGTTAGCACAGGGCTGGGCCCTCAGTGGGCTCCCAATAAAATGATGCATGCAGACGGCCATCACGAAGTCTTCACAGGGCTTGTCAGGATGAAGAGGACCAGTATACGAGACGGGGTTGTGAACTGCAGAGCAGGCTGGTTTGGGGAACTGGGCGCTGTGAATCCCGCTGTACGCACCTCACACGTCTGTAGTCCCCGATGCTTTCAGAAGAGCAGAGCGCGCAGGGAGGTGGCCACGGGGGAGGCTCTCCTGCCTCTTACAAATGCTGGCCCTGAAGGAAGAAGGGGCTACACACAGACCCTGATAGACGGTTCGAATTCTCAATCCAAGCTCCACAGGGAGGGGTGCAGATGCCACCGATGTGACCGCTTTATAGTCCTGCCAGGACTCACAGAGATGGCACTTGGCCCGGGCTTCCCGCAGGGGCACGAGAAGGCTGCCTCTGCTGAGTCCCTGGGAGTGAAGGCGGTGGCTGGCTCGTGACCCCGTTCTTCCCTGTCTTTCTTGGCCTCGGAGATGTCCCCTCTTTGTGTATACACCGTCTATTCCTGTGCCAAGCTGGTGGCTCCCAGCAGGACACCATGGGGCCGCCCCAGCTGCAGCTTTGGCCCCTTTCTCTGTCTGGGACCTGCCCCCAGGGTGGTAGGCTTCTGCATCCAGGCGGGAAGCAGGCGTCCAGCCAGACTTTCCTGCCCAGTTAAAGAAATTGCGTTTCTTTTAACCTGTTCCCAGGCTTGGCCAAGGCCCTTTCTGACAGAAAGGCTTGAGGACCTAAGGGAAACATTTCCTAAACCTTCTGGGCTCCTCTCAGTTAGAAACCCAGATGAGAAATACAAGAAGTCACGTCTCCCTCCCCGCACATGGCCTCCGACCCACAGCCCCTCTGTGCTGGGGCGGCCTTGTCCCTGCAGGCGAGGTGATGGGAACCCTTGGTCCCCCTACCCGCCCCCACGAGGACAGATTCCTGCCTTGTTCCCTGACCTTTCTTATCTCCACCCTCGCCCCAGTTTACCTGCTCTTCCCGGGCCCTCCCCAGTCTTTTCACCTGAGCTTTGTGGCTGCCCCCTTCCTGCCTTCTCTTTCCTTCCTTTCTTTTCTGCGTTCAGACCGTAGTCCTCTTGGCGTCTGTGCCGCGCACCCCTCCGCCCCCGCCCCTGGCTTGAACGCACCATCCTTCATCGCTCAGTCCCCTCCACGGCAGAGGTTGCCCGGCCAGGCACTGTGCACTGAGCAGTGCGTGGAGGACGTTTCATCCCAATTTCCGCACGGAGCCGGCTGTCGCGGTCGCTTAACCGGCCACCCTTCTGGAGTGGCCCAGGGACGTGTTTCCCCGAGTGTTCTCCGTGGAACACCGGGTTGCCGGGTGCCCTTCCTCGGGTGGAAATTCCCCAGACGCGCAGAACTGTGTGGTCAGGCGAGTCCGTGTGCTGTTTCTCTCTGGTGCGTCTCAGACACATGACCGCATGGAAGGCTCTGGAAAGTTCCACACTGAAGAAGCCTGTTTACCTTGACTGAGACCGACTCCCTGTAATGGAGACTGTCCCTGCGGCCTATTTGTAAGAGCTCTCCTTTCTCAGGTCTCCTTCTAGTTGCCTGTTTTTGCCAGAAGCTCTTCCTCGTAGTGGCTGGAGCTGTCCCTGTGCTGACCACACGCAGCCCCCGAGCTGGCCGGCCTCTGGGAGGGCTCCCGGGAAGTGGAAGCACGCAGTGTAAACAGCTCCCTGCTTCCCGGGGCCGAATACTTCCTTCTACTGTAATCCTGGCAGGGGCCTGGGAGGCCATTCACCTTCCTGGATGCTCTCCACGGACCAGGCCCATGTCCCCCAGTGTGTGGGGTCAGCCCGGAGGGGAACAGACTGTCGGGGGTGTGGACTGTGAACCCCCTCTGTCCAGGATTCGGAACTTTTTTGCCCTTGCTGTCGCGATTTCCCCCTGAGGGTTTTCGGGCCGCCCCACACTGCCTGCAGTCCCGCAGATCCCCACGTGCCCTCACAGGTCCCCGACCTCTGGCCCTTAAAGCTGCGGTGGAGAAGCCGGTTCGGGGGACCTAGTTTCGGACCTTGCCTTTCTTAAAAGACGGTGATAAGGTCTACACTTTACTGTCTTACCCACTTTGAAGTAAGTGTCCAGTTCGCCGGCATTAGATGCGTTCACGTCACTGTGCAGCCATCGCCGCCTCCGTCCCCAGGGCTCTTTCATCCTGGGACTCAAACTGGGACTCAGATAACAGTCAGGCCGAAATAATGACGCCCCCTCCCCTTGCCCTCCCCCCACCCCGTTCCACTCTGTCTCTGTGAGCGAGACTCTCCCGGGCACCTGCGTAAGTGGGATCCCACAGTATCTGTCCGTGTGCCCGAGTTTTCTCTCTTCCTAAAGCTGAATCGTGTTCCACTACACGAACACAGAGGCAGGGAGACCGTGGGTGATGTCGGAGGGCCGGGGAGGAAGGGGGCAGCTCCCCAAGCTCTGGTGTGTAGAAAGGCCACCACGGAGAGTCAGGGGTGTGCAGGTGGTGTGTTCTGGGTGGGCGCATGGCATCGGTCGGCCACGCTGGCTGGAACGGAGCACGCTGGGGAGGACGGGCCCCATCTCCGGGCCAACCATGTGAGCCTCACAGCGCCACCAGCCCGCAGAGACAGATTTCCGGTGCCTGCAGGCTGTATCTCCCCATGGGCGGTGGTGCAGCTCCCAACAGTGGTGGGCATTTATTGCCAGGTCGGGGGAAGAGTGAGCTAGATAGTGAAGAAACGGACTTGATTACTTATTTAATTGCTTAAGCAGAAAAATAAATGTAGAATTGACCATCTTAATTATGAGCTGCACCTTCACATTCTCGTGCAACCATCACAGCCACCCATCTCCTGAACCCTTTTCTCCTCCCAGACCGAAGCTCCAGCTCATGGACCAGTAACTCCCCTGCCCCCCTCGCCCACACTCCCTAATAAGCGCCGTTCCATTTTCTGTGCCTGTCAATGCTGGATGCCTCTGTAAATGGAATGGTGCAGGGTTCGTATTCGTGCCTTAGTTTAACTTTAACATACTGTTGTCAGGGCTCATCGGTATCATAGCCTGTATCAGAATTTCACTCCTTTTCATCGCAGATAACATTCTACCGTATAAACACGCCACTTCCCATTGTGTGGATGTACCACGTTCTGCTTCTCCGTTCATTCATCAGTGGGCACGTGGGTTGTTTCCGCTGTTTGGCAATTATGAACGGACTTGTGTTTTCAAGGCAAGGGGTTCCTACCTGAGCAACAAGGGGACTCTGGGTAGCAGGAAATCAGACGGACTGGAAGGAGGCCACAGAGTCTGTAAGAAGAGGCTGTAGCGGCCCAAGTGCGTGCAGAAGGGGAGTGGAGTGGTCAGGAGAAAGCAGAGGACAGAAGGCTGAAGAAGGTCCTGTTGGGCCATGACTGGTGTGGCTTATGGGTTGGGGGGTCATCTATAAACCAAAAGGTCGCCAGTTCGATTCCCCATCAGGGCACATGCCTGGGTTGCAGGGCCAAGTCCCTAGTTGGGGCACGTGAGAGGGATCCAATTGATGTTTCTTTCCCTCTCTTTATCTCTCCCTTCCCCTTTCTCTAGAAAGAAAGGGGAAAAAGAGAGAAATGAAAGAAAAAGAAAGAAAGACCTACTGTGCGGACCCAGACATTCAGGAGTGGAGAGCAGGGCTGGACCCCCACATGGGCGGCTGGGGGCGGAGGGGCAGCCAGCAAAGGTGCTGGCTCTGTGGTTAAAACTTGGCCAAGAGGGCAGAGCCTCTCTGCTGTCACTCACACAGAAGTGACCATTCAGACCCAGAGACTGGACGGGTGAGCCAGAAGGCAAAGCATGAAACCAGAGCGCCGGGGCCGGGCCTGAGTCACAGCCTGGCGCAGGGGCAGGAAGCAGGAGCAGGAGACAGGGGGATGGGAGGAGGGGTTGGGGGGATGGGGGCGCGGACCCCCCAGGAGAGGCTTTGGTTGCTGCGCGTAGACAGTGGGTGTGTGGGGTGTGTTCCTGCAGTTCCTCTGCGTCCGGCATCGGGAGGATCGGTTGATGTGTATTGACTGAAATGGGGCGGCGGGTAAACAGGAATATTTCTCATCCTCAAGAAACTATGGCCCAGTTGTGGAGCGGAGACGTGGAAACAAACACATAGTACAAGACCCGCTTGGAATCGCAGCATGCAGTACCCGAAGGGATTTTGAGGAGAGGGGGGCAGGTCCCTTCGGATGTGGTGGTCAGGATGCTGCAAAGCAGGAGGTATTTGAGTCGTCTTTCAATAAATGAGGCCAAGGACTCACCGTGTAGCAGAGTGACAAGTGTTCCCTTGCCCTGGCCACCCCTCATCGATGACCTTCCTTTGACTCCACAGGTATGACTCCGGGCGGGACGGCTTCATTGACCTGATGGAGCTGAAGCTGATGATGGAGAAGCTGGGGGCCCCCCAGACCCACCTGGGCCTGAAGAGCATGATCAAGGAGGTGGACGAGGACTTCGATGGCAAGCTCAGCTTCCGTGAGGTACCTGTGTCCTGCCATCCGAGCCCTCAGGGGGGCAGTGTCCCCGAGAAGACCCTCAAATTTACAATCCCCTGGAGCACAAATGGTTTTGGCCTCTCTAGAGTGCTGTTTGGATATTTAACCTACAGTTCTGTTTTTCTAAATAATGTAAGGGGCTGGTGAGCCTCAGCTTTGCTGGGGGAGATGCCCAGAAAGCAGACCAAAAGCCAGTGTGGGTCGGACAGCCCCATTTAGGTAAAGCCGTGCATGTACTGAGGAATCCGGAAGGATGGTCCCCAAAGTATTCAGAGTAGATATTTGTGGGTGCAAAGTTTTGGTGGTCTTATAATTTTATACTTTTTTATATGAAAACATTTCATTTTTATAGTAAGTATTTAAAAATAGTAACCCCCCCAAAAAAACCTGAACAATTAAACACCAGGTCTTACCCTGTGCCTGTGGACAACTCTTCCCAAGCAGTCCAAAAATGGGTCTTTTGGCCTTTGAACCTTGAAACCACAGGCAGAATTTTGTAAATACAAATATATCCCTGAAAGCGGGCCCATAGATTCACCCTTTTTCAGCCCATAGGATCCCCCATGGGTGATGAGACCATTTCTGTTTTGGGAGAAGAGTCTCAAGGCCAGGTGGTTTCTTCCGTGGTGAAGATGCAGCCCCAGAAGAAAGGGAACGCCATGCCTCACGTGTCCGAGTTTATCGACCAGCCTCTAGACGCATCAGTGTGGCTAGTGTTAGAGTAACTTGCGGACAACTTTCGGGCTGAAGGCGTGGGGCGTTAGCCCAGCTTCTGTGATCTGCTCTTAGGTGCATCTCAGCTGGTCCCACAGGAGTGGTGGGTGGAGAGGACTGTCATTCTTCTTGGTGTCTGCCCTTGGCTATTCCAGAAACAGGGAAGTGCTGGTGCCCTGTTTTCTGATGGTGAGGCTTCAGCCAAGTCCTGTCTTCTGTCCAGGCTAGACAGGGCTTTGGGTGCTCTTCCCGGGGTCTCTGCAGCTGCCCGGCAGCCACGAGTCCCTGCCCAGCTGCAGTGAAACTGGCCTCGTCTCTCACTGACCACAGATCCCCTCCAGATTCTCCCATCTCTTTCTCTCCTGAACTGGCAGACGTGGAGACCATGGTCACGGAACACTTGTGTTGGGCGTGACCCTGGCGACTAGGATAATCTAGTCTAGGCTCTCATTTCAGAGCTGGGGGCCAAAGGACCACAAAGGTCAGACTGTCCTGGAATCAGGCCCCGGCTCAGGGCTGGGCCTGGGTTGCAATCTTTGTGCCACACAGCCTCCCGTTGTCACTTGCTGAGGTCACCTCCCTCTGGCACCCTCACCCATCATTTGGTTCCTGCAGATCATGTGTGCTTGGGGCTGAGCCCTGGCTCTTCCCAACTTGCAGGCCCCTGGGGTGTAGAAGGTAAAAGCTTTGGCCTTGGTGAAACTTTGGAGGCAGCGAGCGCTGGGGAAGGAACATCCGTGGCAAAGCTGTGATCTCAGGAACAGAAATCGAGAGGGTGATGAGAGGTCTGTGCAAGTCACCAGCTGAGTAAACACAGTCCCTCTCCTGCGTTTGACCCAGGGGCTCCCCAAACGTGTTCCTCCCCAGAGCCCGCGATGCTTGGTTAGCTTCTGGGAGCTGCCGGCTTGGCTGTTGCCCCCAAATGGTGGACAGCAGAGGCCTGGACAGCTCCAAGGGTTCCGTGGTGGGTCTTCAGCCCACCTGCAGAGCTCAGTGACCTTCATATTCAGAGCCCTGTGTGGTCCCACCTCCAGCGGTTGTACCCAGCAGAGTAGGCACGTCCGCCATCACCACGCTGTGCCCATGTAAGGGAAGGGAGCTTGTAGTCAGACCTTGGGCTCACACAAGTTGCTGAATTTTTGCACATTATTTTCCTTCTGAGCCTCAGGTTTTCTGTCTTAAAATGTGGATGCTAACAGCTTTCCCTTGGGACTGTTGGGAGGACCATGTTCTCTTTCTGTGCCCGTGTCAGTTAGAACTCTTGGTTGTAAGTGATGGAAAGCGGATGCCCATTAATGTTGATGAGAAAAATCAAGTAACCGTTGGCTCACACACCTGGGAGATGAGGAAGAAGAAGTGCTTTAGGCACAAGAAAGCCAGGGTCTTTCTCTTGCCATGTCTTGACATCTTGGCTGTGCTTTTCCTCTGTGTCCCCCTCCTTCCACACATGGGGTTGTCACAAGGCCTGCCTGATGGCTAATAGCTGCTCCAGATCCAGTGTCCCAGGTTAGTAACCCCAGCAAAGAGAGGGCCTCTTTATCCCAGAGTCCATACCAGTCCTGGAGGAAGGCCTGTGATGGACCTAACTAGGGATGCGCACCCACCTCCTGGACCAATCAGTGCATTCAGGGGACTGTGATTGGCTAAGTCCAGGTCATGTGCTGCAGGACACCATGGTCAACAGCCCCACCATCATCACATGGGATAGGGATTGCCATGGAGACAAAATTGCTCACTTCTACAGTTCCTCTCTCACAACCTGGCACTTAGTAGGAGCTTCATAAACGTTCCCTTTTTCCTTGAATGAATTCTACCAGGCAAGTCACACCCAAATAAAGCTTTTAATACAGAAGGTAGGTCTGTACTCAGTACTGTTTTGCTGCTTTTCCCCAGCATACAAGGAAATTGGGCTTTCTCTTAAACCATTTCTTTTCCTACTGTGAGAAATAATGCATGTGCACTAGCAGTGTTTTAGAAGACGGTATAGGTGGAACCATGTGAAGTGATGATGCACCGCAGTGTTTCACGGCCAGGAAACAGTTGTTGACAACGTGAAAAGTGCGGACAAAAGGAGATGACTCGGCTGTATGTAAAACATGATTATTTGCACGTATGGTGTATGTGTGTGCACAGACAGGTAGAGGAAGTCCTGCAGATGGACCAGCGCTAGCTAGCAGGTCCACCTCCGTAGCTCTAGTGACGAGGAACCCGATTGCAGGCATGCCCCACCTTGTTCGGACCACAGAGCCTTCCCCTCCTGCTCTCTTCTTCTTGTACCCCTCCCGAGTTCCATCACATCTGTCTCAGAGCAGAACTGCTCGGCCAGCCATGCAGTGCTTTTATGCAAAGGTTGGGTAATGGGTAATGTATTCCTGGGAACTGGGGGTTCCGTCCCCTCCTCTCACCGAGGTCTCCCTGAGGTGTGTCCTGGCAGCTCTGGCTCTGCTAGGCTGGCCGCCTGACCACGGCTGGACGCCTGGCAGGTCTAGGTTCACTGGCTCGGCAGGTGGCTGTTCCTGGAAGAACAACTCAGTGCGGGGTGGCTGTTGCTACCACATGGACCAGAGGAGAGCTGGAGAGGGAACATCTCCGCCAGTTGCGAGAGCATTTCCTCTCCCAAGGCCCGCCCTCTCCCAGGTGACTGTGCATTGACCTTGGGTTCGTTCAAAACATCCTTTTATATAATGACTACCTCCTTTTTGCTTAAGCCAAGGTTGTTTCTGTTACTTACAATCTAAGGGCTCTGACTAATAATACACGGGACATGTTTGCATCTCTTGTTAAAACCATGAAGTTAAACATTTCCTAAATTTATCAGAAGCATTGACAGCTGGTTTCTGAAATTGCATTTAGCTTTGTCGGTTTTCACTCGGTTTCTTTTTTTCAGCTTCTCATTCGCTCTCTGCTCTTTGCCCACAGTCACGGCTAGGACACGTTCTAATTCCCCACAATGCACCAGTCTCAGTGGACCATAAATAGGAAGACACAGCTGGGCAGTTGGAGAAATTATCATTCAGGGGTTGGTGATGGTAATAAAACTAAATGGGAATGGCTGGTATGCTTTGTGGAAGGCTGAACACATTCAGGTTGAGCTGGACGTTCTTCCTTTTTTAACTGGCTGGGGCAGTGGGCCCTGGAGTTAAAGTGACAGAGCTCCTGCTGGTCACCTGCTGAGCTGGCAGAGTGAACACAGGAGGCCAGGCCTGGATCTTCTCCGGGAAAAGTTCCACGAGGGACCCTTGAAGCCATTCTGTAAACACAGAGGAACATTGTCATCTCCACTATGGGCGTGACAGACCCCCCCCAGTCACCTGGGTTGGGTTGTTGCTAGGCTGGGGGCCATGGTCTCTCTTTCCTGGGCTGCCTGCCTCCCTGGGCCCCCCAGGAATGGTGGCTGTGGAGGGGCGACCGGCTTTTGTGTTTGCCTTACAGAGCAACACGTGTGTGGGAGTGGGGGGCGACTTCTGTAGCTAAATGCTAGAAGGACAGGCAGGGCACTGAGGATGGCACTTCACTCTGCCCCTCTTCTCGGGGCTCCCGGTCGCAGCACCGAGTCTTCGCTGCTTCCGTCTCTTCTGTGACAGCCCGACCACAGTTGTCCCTATGTGCCCCTTGGGGGTCCCACCTCCTTCAACAGCTCGTTTCCTTTTATGTTTCAAAGCGAATATGTATGTATTTATTTTAAAAAATAGTTAAATACATTCCTTTCATACAAGGTGGGGCAAAAGCAGGAATACAGTTACTCATAGGAAAAATAATACAGTCATTGATACAAAAGTAAACTGTTTCGTGTACTCACAACTAAAAACCCACTTTTGCCCCACCCTGTACCTGAACTTGATTCTCAGACATAGAAAGTGAAACACTGAAGTGTCTTTATGTCCAGCATTTGATGAAGCCAATGGCATATATACCTTTAAAAGAACTATGCTTCACGTTTTCTGAGACGTCTCTGGAGCAGTGTTCTGGCTCCGACAGTCTGCAGCGAGCGGAGTCTCTGCCGGCCCCTAGTGAGAGAGCGTGAAGCTGCAGCTGGACGAACGGGGCATTGCTACCCAGCCCACCAGTGGCCTCCACAGGCGCAGGCCAATGCTACGCGTCCTTGAGCATCTTGCTTCATCCCTTTCTTTGCATCCAGCAATGCCCACAGGGGAGTTGGAACCCCCAAACAAGAATTACAAAGAAAGCTTTATTAGTGAGGTTTTGGAGGGCTGGTTGGGGCTCAGACTTGGGCTGGATGAGGCCCACTTCCCTCCAGAGATTGAGAGTCTTGGGAGTAAAAGCTTCCCCGGGTTGGAATGTGGAGAACTTGTCGAAGGCGTTTTACCTCTCACTCTGCTTTCGGTGATTAACGTTTTTTTCTCTTGGGAAGCCGTTCTCTAGAGACGATGGTCATGAAAAAAGCCCCAAACCCAGAAACCTCCCTGTGTTTTCGGGAGCACCTGAAAACCCGGGAAAGTCTCTTACTGGGTTGACTCGGAATGCATGATTCACACTCCTTCCAAGTGGAAACATAAATTCTTGAGGTTGGACAGCAGTTATTCGACCAATAAATTCACAAAAATTCTTTCAAGGAGAGAAGCAAAAAGCCATGAAACTGACTTGGGGGGAGGAAGATGGAGAGACAGGAGGACTGACCTTCTCAGCTGGGCCTGGTCACTCGTTTTGAAATGTGGTCTGCGGAGGCCTCAGTATGCGTTGGCTTTGAAGGTCAACTCACTCAGGTCACACTTGAATCCAGGGGAAGGAGATGGATTATTCAGTAATGACGTGGGGATTACTAACTAACCGTGTGGAGGAAAAGAAGGTTAATGATCAACATCACATGACCGAGCAGAATAAATTTCAGAGATTAAATATTTACAGATTAAAAAAAAAAAAGAAGTCCTAAAAACAGTAGACAAAACCATAGGCAATTGTTTCTCTAACCTTGGTGGCAAGGAAGGTTTTTCTAAGCGTAGCACTGATGAGAAAAAAAGAAGAAGATTGATAGATTTTATGTAAAAATTTTCAAAGTCAAAAAGTACCATAAGCAAAGGAAGAGAGACAGAGTTAAAGTACTTGAAACATATCCATAAAGGTTTCGTAAAAACCACTCAGGAGGGTAAACAATTAATGGAAAATGGGACACAAACAGAAACTAGAAATGCTTGAAAACATCCAAAGATGAAATTATTTGATTTAAAAAAATAGTACATACAGGCCCTGTTGAACTTTTTCTTCATGGCTCTAAACTATGGCATTGCCAATGTTTTGCTTTAATAGATAATGCGTCGGAAAGGATTGTGTGCATTTTTTTGAAGAACAGATTCCCAGCGGTGGAGTTGATGGGCGGAAGGGTGAAAGCATTGCATTGTGGGTAAATGTTTCCAAAGGGTCCTCCCAAGAATTGGAAGTAAAGTTTATACTCTCATCCCCCAGATATCAGGGTGCCCGCTCCCCTACCTCCTTGTGAGAAAGGGCATGTGTGCCTTTTTGACAATGAAATAAGGAAGAAAATAGTGGGCACGTGCACACGTCTCCACGCTTTTTTATAGGCTTGGCAATAATGACACTAGTGTGGGCCAGGGGATGGCTGTCAGTCTCTCAGCAATGTTGACCTTGCCCCACAGTTCCTGCTCATATTCCACAAGGCCGCCGCCGGGGAGCTGCAGGAGGAGAGCGGGCTGCTGGCCCTGGCAAAGCTGTCCGAGATCGATGTTGCCCTGGAGGGCGTCAGAGGTGCCAAGGACTTCTTTGAAGCCAAGGTAGGTGGCTCCTTCCTGTGGCGGACAGTTGCCCCCTCCCTCCACCCTGCCCAACAGGAGGTCCCAGTTAGTGACTATCTCATCCACTCCCTCAGGGCAAGATCACGTGTGACTGCAGGGGCTGAGGGTGTGTCTGTGCACAGAGTGCAAATTAAAAACCAAGCAGGAAAACAGCCAAATGGTAGATGCGCTGAACCCTGGTTTCAGATTCAAACGGGTTTGGTAGTACAACACTTCCCAACTGACTCTTTAAAAAAAATGTGTTGTTTTTTTTAAACATCCTCATCCAAGCATACATTTATTGATTTTTGGTGCAGGACAGAATAGGAGTGAGAGGGAGGGAAAAAGAAAGGAGGAGAGAGAAAAACATATGTGAGAGAGAGAAACATCGGTCAGTTGTCTCCAATAAGTTTCCCAACCAGGGATTGAACCTGCAACCTAGATATGTGCCCAGACCGGGAATTGAACCTGAACCTTTGGTGCATAGGACAATGTTCCAACCAACTGGGCCACCCAGCTGGGGCCCAGACCAACTCTTGCTCCAGACTTCCTTGAAGAATTCCCCCAACCCCAAAACACAGCTGAGTCACTTGCACGGCCACCTCCATATTTGCATCGTACACACCCCTGTGTAACCAAGTGAGTAACGGGGCCAGAGGAGGGAGCCTGGGCAGCTTGCCCCAGATTCGCTCCTTGGACAGGGGCTGGGCGTTGGGGCACAATCTGCAGGGCGTGGTCTCAGGTCTCTTCTGAGTGCTTCCGCCCATTCACACGTTCACCCAGCCCCCGAGCGTCTGTCGAGAGCCTCCCCTCGCTGGGTGCTGTCACCTTCGCCCCTGTGGAGCCGGCCTGCAGACAGATCAGGAGAGCCCTCCCAGCCCCGTCCACCACAGCACTGGGGTGCAGTGGGTGAGGCTGCCTGGTTTCAGAGTCTGCCTCCTCCTGTTACCGCCGGTGCCTCAGTTTCCTCATCTGTACAATGGGGGCTATAATGGGGTTGCCATGAGGATTACGTGAGATCACATCTACAGAAAGTGTTGTGCGAGCACCTGGCTCACCGTGACACCCCATCGGTGAGTGCGCACGGTGATGAGACTCCCTCCCACTCCCGCAGGGGCCGGCCTCTCGTGTGGTTTTGGGCTATTCCTGTAGTCTGCCCAGAGAGGAAGTGTCCCGAGGGACACATTCCAACCTGCTCGGGCCCCTGAGCCCGACTCTGTTCTTACTTCTCTGTGATGGTGCTTGGGGAGGTGGCCAGTCGTCCTTGTGCCAACACGGAGTCTGAGTCCCGGTCCCCAAGGCCCGATTCCGGCCCTGTCCTCCGACGGCTCCAGTGGCAGCCGACCGCTCTCTGCACCCCCAACACCAGCCTTGTGCGGCCATCCCTGGAGGTGGTTTGGCCCTCCCTTCGTGGGGCTCCATCGACTAACCCAGTTCCCCCGGCCATGCCAGCACCACATCAGCTCAGCAGACACAGGGGTGGCAGACAAAACTCTTGCTCTCCCCCGAACACACACAGGCTACTGAGGACAGCAAACTGTCAGCCTGGGTATGGGGAGTGGAGAGGAGGCAGGGCTCATTCCGGTGGGATGGGTCCTTCCCAGTCATTGATGTCTTATGATGATGCCTCAGGCAGGGGCCCCGGGACTGAGACCCAGCCTAGCAGGACGCTGTTTCCCCCTCCCAGCCCAGCACTTTCGTCAAAGTCGTGTGAAGTCTCTGGGAGCGTTTTATCTGGGCAGTCAGACCTTTTATAAACCTGTTCTGGTCCCTTCTCCAGCCTCGTCCAGCCCTGTGCACGTTTCTTCAAATCCTGCCGTGCTTCTCACAGTGGGGCCCCGGCCGGCCGCCCCCTCTGCCTGGGAGGCCCCATCTGAACACCTCTTCCTAGAAAACTCATCTCAGTCTCTAAGGCCCACGGCAGAGGGTTGCCTCCTCTCGGCTGCTTTCCCTGATTATGCTGGTCAGGAAAGTCTGTCCCCTGCCGTGCGCCTCTGGCATGAGTGGAAATGGTATTACAGCTTGTTCAAGGCTTGTTGGACACGTACTTTTGGTAAGTGTGTAAAGTGACCTAACTCTCTGGAGAGTGCTTTGGGCCTGGCTGTTCACGTTTCCCATCCTTCGCCTCTGGAGGTCTGCCCCGGGATGAGCTTCTAGAGACGCTCATGCTGATGCACGTGGGGACAGACAAGGAGTGTGTGCAGCTCTGTTGGCGACAGAGAAAAATCGGAAGCAATGGAAACTTCCAGCACCAGGGAGTTGAATCCGTCTGTCACACCTCGTATTTGTACACCCCACAGCCACATATGTGCATGGACAGACGTCCAAAATGAAGGAAGCAAAAACTTTGTTTGAAGCCCTAGTTTGTGAATATGAAATACACCCTGGGTAATTATACACCAAAGGATGAATCACACTTACGTCTGAGGGAACCTTTAAAATACGTTTGTAACGTCTGACCATTGTGTAGGTTATTTTTGTAACCGGGAGAAAAGATGAAAAGAAAATGAGAAAATTTTGGACTTGTTATGTTTATATGTCTGCTTCCGCACCTAGACTCAAAGGCAGAGTAGGTGTTTTATCTTCGTAATTACAGTGCCTGGCATATAATGGCCCTCAATAAACGTTTCATGAGTGACAAATGGAGGGAATCGTCACTTGAATTTGGGAGAGGGCCGTAAAGGAGCTGACGTTTGCAACAGATGTCCAGAGATGAATGGGTACTCACCTTGTAATCAAGGAAGGGAAGGTGTTCCTGCCATGAGAACCGTGGGAACCACGGCAGAAGCAAAGGCTCTCAGGCACGGAGGCAAGGAGTGTTTGGAGGCTGGCCCTTGTCCACACTGGACACAACCAGACAGGGCATTCTGGGTCCTCCTAGAGGTCAGGGCTTCCCCAGCTTGCTGACCCCCAGAACCATCTGCAGGCCAGCCTTTTAGGTCCCACTTGGATCTACCAAGTATGTCTCCGGGGTGGGGCCTAGGAAGCGGGGACCTGAATGAGCTCCTCAGCTGGTTCAGTGCGGCTCAGAAAGTGCAGCTGCAGGTGCAGGCGCAGGCGCAGGTGCGGGTGTAGGCTTGGGCAGGGGAAGCCCCCAGAGGGGTCTGAGTGGGGCTCTGATATGATCGGGTGGGCACTATGGGGACCAGATTGTGCAGAAGGAAGGAATCAGAGGTACAAGGAGGCCCTGGAGAAGATGCAGTTCTGGAGGACAGGGGCGTTTTCAAGAAGAGATTAAACCATCTGAGGCCAGACCAGAGGTTCTGAGACTAGTGAGTGGTCAGTGGAGATTTTTGAGAGACCAGGTTACTGTGGAGGGCAGGTTGCTACAGGGTAAGAGGTGAGCGGGAACTGGGAGGAAGAGCTCTGGCAGCTGATGCTTCTCTCTAGAAGGTTGGCCGAGGAGGCCCGGACGGAGTGGGGATGGCAGGGAAGAACTTGGTGGTTTTTTTTAGCCTAGACATGATAGATGTGGGTGTGTTTTGAAGGGTCCAGGGAGAAGGGAACCCGAAAACGGTGTCAGCCCGTCATCGTTTAGGATTTCCACTCTACAGACAGGATGAGGACTGGGAGGCTGAGGAATCAGGAGAAGAGGTGACGGTAGAAAAGAGGAGGATCCCAAGTGAAGGAGTTGCAAGCGCCCCGGCCCTCCGCCGGCCGGCTGGGAATGGAGGGGAGGTGGGGCGGCTCACAAACTGTGGGTGTGGCCGATGGGCCAGACCCGCTTTCTGCTGAGCCACCCCTCCCCAGGGAGGGGGTGGGGTCTCCCTTTGCAGATGAGGAAAGTGAGGCTTACACAGGAGTTTGTTGGTCAACGTTTAGCATTTGGCTCTCTGAACAAATGCCTAAGTTTATTATGAATTTTACTGATCCAAAGAATCTGTAGCGCACAATTTAGAAATAGTAAAATGCTCCTACACACCACTTTGATTGTCAATTCCATGTAGCCTGCTGACGGCTCCTCGCCCTCTGCGAGATTTTCGAACCTGCAGCCAGCCTGTGGTGACAGCTGACAAAACAACAGAGTTCCAAGGGGAGCTCGGCAGATGCTCTGTGTTCAAGTTGATTTACAAGAAGAAAGGGAAAGGGCACATCTCAGAACTTCACTCGTTTGTCAGCAATGTGAACAACTTCTTTGCTGAATTTGATAATAGTTTTCAAATACCGGCAGAACATTCTCTTCATTTTCGGGGGGTGGGGGGGTGGGGAGCTATCCATACATAACATAAAGGCTAAAGACACTACCCATTTTTAAAATTTAATATGCATTTTTAACATTTCCCCATTGCTTTCTTTTTTTTTTAATTTATTTATTTTTTGAATTGATTATGCTGTTACAGTTGTTCTATTCCCCCCTTCATTCCCCTCCACCCTGCCCCCCCAACCCCACCATTACCCCCCTTTAGTTTATGTCCATGTGTCTCAAGTCCTTTAGATTCTATATTTCCCATACTATTCTTGCCCCCCCATCTATTTTCTATCTACTGTCTATGCTACTTGTTTTCTGTACCTTCTCCCCCCATCTCCTCCTCCCACTCCCCTGTTGCTAACCCTCCTTGAGATCTTCATTTCTATGTTTCCACTCCTGATCTAGCTGTCCTTTTAGTTTGCTTTTGTTTTAGGTGTGGTTGTTCATAACTGTGAGTTTGTTGTCCTTTCACTGTTCATGTTTCTTTAACTTCTTTTTCTTCGATAAGTCCCTTTAACATTTCATATAATAAGGGCTTGGTGATGATGAACTCCTTGAATTTGGTCTTATCTGAGAAGCACCTTATCTGTCCTTCCGTTCTAAATGAAAGTTTTGCTGGGTAGAGCAATCTTGGTTGTAGGTCTTTAGATTTCATGACTTGGAATATTTCTTTCCAGCCCCTTCTTGCCTGTAAGGTCTCTTTTGAGAAATCTGCTGGCAGCCTGATGGGGACTCCTTTGTAGGTGACTGTCCCCTTAGCTCTTGCTGCTTCCAGGATTCTCTCCTTCATTTTAATTTTGGCTAATGTAATGATGATATGCCTTGGTGTGTTTCTTCTTGAGTCCAACTTTTTTGGTACTCTCTGGGCTTCTTGGATTTCTTGGAAGTCTATTTCCTTTGCCAGATTGGGGAAATTTTCTTTTATTATTTGTTCAAATAGTTTTTCCACTGGTGGTTGTGTCTTTCCCCCTTCTGGTACCCCTATAATTCAGATATTGGAGCGTTTAAAGATGTCCTGGAGGTTCCTAAGACGCTCCTCATTTCTTTGAATTCTTGCTCCTTGACTCTTTTCTGTTTGGCCATTATTTGGTTTCTTCTGGTCCACTCCATTGATTTGAGTCCCAGTTTCCTTTTCATCTCTGTGGGTTTCCTGTGGAATTCCATTCATTTCCCTTAATTTAGCCTTCATATGTTTCTCTAATTTGTGGCTATAATCCACCAGATCTGTGAGGAAGCTGATGACCAGTGTTTTAAACTGTGCGTCTGAGAGTTTTGCTATTTCTTCGTCACTTAGATTTATCTCTGGGGCTTTGAGTTCTCCCTGCGACATTTTTGGTCTGTTCTGGCCCTTTAAGTGGGAGAAGCGGCGCCTTGGAGTCCCAGGTCGCTGGGTTGTGACGCTGTATGTGGGGGCGTGGTCAGAGCGGGGAAATGGCGGCGCCCTCTATCGTCGCCGCAGCCGCTGTCTATCGCTGCCGCCGGTCCAACCGCTCACTCCCTCACTCGCGCGCAACCAGGCAACCACAGTCAACACGCTGCACCGCCTCCCCACTGTCTCCTCTGCAGTCGCTCACCCAGTGGGTTGCTCGGTCGCTCACTAGGTCCAATCCTGGGTTTGGAACCCGTGCGACTGGATTCGCGTCTGGATTCCGCGCCCGGGTCCAACCGAGCCCTCCTTTGTAACTCCTCACCCGACGCCGGTTTCGCCCCTTACCGGTCGGGCTGAAGAATTTGTTGTTAGCGGACTTCCGAAAAGTTCAGTTTTCCGTGTTCTGGTTGTGTTTTCTGATGCTAATATTTAGTTGTCCCTAAACTTGGTTGTGTGAGGAGGCAGGCACATCCACCTAAACCTCCATCTTGGCGGAAATCTCCCCCATTGCTTTCTTAAGAAAAGTTTGTCTGGACAGTCAGTGAAGCGCTAAACCAAGCCCTGACTTGAAGGGCTTGGCAGTTTCCCGGTGCCAATGCTCCCACAAGCGGCACCTGTCGGGTGAATCGGGGAACATTCCCAGTAGCCCATCGTCACTGCGGGTTTCCGCCTTAGGGACAGAACACTGGCCATAACCTCAGAAGCACCGCTCATAGTAAAATGTTGTACAAGAATCAAGAAGTAACAACTTTTTAAGTATCTATTACCTTTTGCTTTTAATATAATTTATTGTAAATTCCTATGACTTTATTTTTAATAATTGCTATCATTCACAACCAGCCCATTAAACTCCCGCAAATCGAACAATTGGCTTGCCAGCCAGAGCAGATTGTTCCAGAATGTGTCTGGGCCCAGAGGTGTGCAGACCCTGCCCAGGGTCTCGCACCCTGCCTACCCTGAAGCACAAGGAAAGGGAAGAAGGATAGAACTGGTGGGAGAGGAGTCCAGAGAGGAAGGGCTGCATTTCCCTGTGTTTCCTAAATGGGGGGGGGGGTGGCGGGAGCAGCTGAGAGTGTCAGGTCCATCAGTGAGAGGAGACATGGGAGGGGCCGAGCCCTATCAGAGGACCAGACCAAGCCAGAAATCTTCCCCTCCCAGTGGATCCAGACACCATCCTTGTGAGACTTCTAAAGATGGATTGTGTTTTCAGCCTTGCTGGCAGCAACAGACAGAATCGGTGACCCCAGGGTGGGACCCGGCAGGATGAGAAGAGAGGCAATAGGTGAGTGAGGGCAGAAGTGCAGGTCCTGGGAATTCAAGGTCCAGTGACCGGTGTTGCTCGGAGACTGGCCGAGTGTCCATGCCAGGCTGGAACATAAACCTAGGTGAGGCCATGCACCCGGGATGGGGGGTTCTGCAAGCACTGAGCCCTGGGCAGGCCTGGTAAATAGCAAACTCCAACTTGGACTTGTTGCTGTAGTCTAGGAAGAGCAGGCAAGGAGGAGAGGTGTAAGGACTAGAGGAGGGGAGCCGGCGGTGCGAAGTTTCAGCCAGGCCGTGAGAAGGGTTGAGGGCGAGCAGGTCCTGAGCTGGTGTCGGGGGACTTGGACTTGGGAGCCAGCGGTGTGAACCTGGGGGCTGGAGGGGAGAAGTTGGGAAGCGGGGGCAGAGGCTCCAGTGCCTCAGAAATTCCTGGGAAATTTGGAAAATACAACTTCCCGGTCTCTCCCCCAGGGCTTCTGATTCTGAAAGGGCAAACACACGCTTCCTGGTAACGTTTTCAGAGTCCCATGTCTTCAGAACCAGACCCCTGAGAAGTGTAGAGAGAATGTAGAAAAAGGACAATGACTTCTCACTGTGTGGCGAGAATCTGCACTGGGCTACAAAGGATGTAACGGAATGAAAACCTGAGTAGGCTGAACAGCATTGCAGGAAATGGTAACTCTCCGTGGCAGAAGTACCACAGAGTCTGGACCAGGAACGATACTGACGAGACACTGAGCACAGAGAGCTAGTGACAGAGAAACGAGAGAGGCTGCGGGATGATGGGTACAGCACCAGGGCAGTTAGTTAAAAAGGAGAGATCGGGATACGTCAACTTAAAGTCGTCAAAAAACTTAATGAAGGGGATGCTTTTCTACAAAGTTAAGACAGTAAGTAGAAAATGCGATGAATTATAAAGACGTTGAAAACGATTACATATCCCATTTACTCTCTGAAGCCAGTGTGATCCCGATAACAAAGTGAAAAATAACAGATCAGAACTTTTTTCTATCAATCTAATAAATATTGCTGCATCTGAAAACATTAACAAATGGAATGCAAGTATAACATTGGAAATTGATGTTGAGACCTACAGGGATAACTTTTCAAATATCAGTGTCATAGCTGAAGCAGACGAGAAAAATGCGACCATTTCAGGCAGATTGCTCAGAGACATTTGGTGAAATTCGACATCCGTATAACACACTTTAAAGTGAAACAACGTTCTTCTTCAACATGATAAAAGAATATTTACTCTCCTTATAAATATCAAGGAATCCTGTAAAGCAGTAATATTAAATCATCTAGTCCAGGTCCAGGAAATAAACAAACCAGTTAGTAGAACAGGGGAGACAATAATGAAAACATCCCCTTCATGTGGGAATTTAATACATGAAAAATATCATTTTCAAATTGGTGGAAAATAATGGGTTTTAAGACAATTGGCTACCCACTTAGGAAAATGAAGTAAAGTCCTCACTAAATATTTCCTTACTGAAGTAAGTTGCAGGTGAGTTCAACAGCTGAAAGTGTGAATAAAACCACAGAAGTACGAGGAGAGCCCTGGCTGGTGTGGCTCAGTTGGTTGGACATCATCCCACAAAAAAAGCCTTGGGTTTGGTTCACGGTCCGGGCTCACACTTGGGTTCCAGGTTTGGTCCAGGTTGGGCGCAGATGAGAGGTAACTGGTTGATGTTTCTCACATCGATGTTTCTCTCCCTCTTTCTCACCCTTCCTTCCCTTCTCTCTCTTAACAAAAAAATAGTATGTCCTCAGGTGAGGGTGAAAAAAACTATTAGGAGAAAATACAGAAAAAATGGGTTTAGAAGCTTGGGTGTATAGAAGACCTTAAACATGACAAAATCCAAAAACCAGAAAGGAAATGTCTGGAAAATTGATTGCATCAAAATTTAAGAATATTTGTATGGCTTAAGCTACCTTGAAGTTAAAAGACAAAAAACTGGGAGAAAGTAACTGAAAAATATAATCAGGGATTAATACCTAAATTCTGTAAGGTAAAACAAGAGCAGAATAGAAAAATGGGCGAAGGATACAAATGAGTAATTCACTAAAGAGGAAATAGAAGGTGCCAATTTTTTTTTTGCCTATCAGATTGGCAAGTAGGGAAAAGGTTCATTATAAGCATCATCAGCAAGGCTGTGGGGAAGGGAGACCTGGTGTTCCATGATGGTGGGAGAGTAAATGGGAACAGCTGCTTGGCGGAGCGATTTAGCAGCCTTAATTAAATGAGGCACGCACCCACGTGTTTGCAGAGTTTTCCAAATTGACCAGACACAGAAAAAAAAATCAGTTCTAGAATAGAGGATTTAAGATGAATTTATCTGCTATGGTATTATCAAAGATAATTTTTTTTTAAATGGCACCAAATCCCATTCGCAAAAACCAACAAAACTAAAAGTGTAATATTTGGCAGTAAGTTTAAAATGGTCTGCTTAGAGAAAAACTAAAAATTTTAGTGGGTGCCATAAAAGCCGTTTTGAACAAAAAAACTGAGGCATTCCGTGGAAACTTACATTGTAAAGAAATCCCTTTGCCACAGGAGGTGGATGCAGTCCCAATCAAAAGCCCAGCAGGGAGGTAATTTTGTTTCTGTTTCCCCTAGAACTAAACAATGCTGTTGTGAAATAAAGGAGGAGAAAGTAGAAGTGGGTATAATAGGTGGGGATGTTGAGCAGTATCCTGGAAAAGGCGAGACACGTGGGAAGACCGACCCAGGACAGCCAATAGAGCGATCGTGTCCTTGCTGCTACAAGGCAAACCTGGGGAGACCCCCCGGGAAGGAGCGGTTGCTGGGGGCCCCAGTCTCCGCGGTTCCCTTCCTGTCTCTCACTCTATCCGCTGCTTTTGGCTCTTTCCCTGCAGGTCTACGCCCTGGCCTCTGCCAGTAAATTTGAAGCTGAGCTGAAAGCCGAGCAAGAAGAGCGGAAGCGGGAGGAGGAGAAGAGGAGACTCCGCCAGGCAGCCTTCAGGGAGCTCAAGGCCACGTTCAGCACATAGTCGGGAGACCTGAACCTCTGTCCACAGCTGTGCCTCACGGATGCCCGGGGGAGAGCTGGCCGGGCATCCTCACCCCACCCCAACCAGCCTCCATACCCACTGATATACAAACTCCTTAGCCTCATTGGGGCAGCAGGGGGCGCTCTCCCGATGGGAGTCCCTCCGGGAGGGGGGTCCTGGCACAGGCCAGTGGCTCTCCTTGCCTCTCTCTCCTGCCCACCTTCCTCTGCCCATCTCTACTTGGCCACTTGTACCTTCTCTTTGCTCCTTTACCTTCCGCATCAAAAAGTGGAAGTTAATGGTCCGATACTTCTTTCTTGGGTGGTCCTTATAGCAGACAGTCCCTGGGGGCTGTGAGGTTAATGCGGCCTATTTTCTTGGGAAATGCTCCCTCCTGCCCTGTTTCTCATCCAGCCACCCCGTTCTCCTCAGCTGAATTCTTTCAGTCGCCTGTGCATCTTTGCCCGCCCTTGCTGGTGGTCAGGTTTAAGGCAGGCCAGGCTGGGCCAGTGCCCATCCCCTCTCCAAGAGGAGCGTGGCATGCTACCAAGATGACACAAAACAGGGAAAAGATAAGTTCTGTTCCTTCCCATCGCCCTTCCGCTGTCCCCTAGCACTCCCCCCAGGCCCACCCTCTTCACCCCCTTTACTCACGTCTCCCCATTTCAGCCCTTTTCCTACTCTTAAATGCTGTGCTTCTTCACTGTAATAGTGAAAGAATAGTCAGAAGTCATATTGAGTAGAAGAATTCCTGTTAATGCTGACTCTATGCAAATTATATTACAGTAGACCCCTGACATTCCCAGGTGACAAACCTAGAGCCTTTTCAAATCCTCAAGGTCATGTCCATCCATCCTCACCATGTAGAAAGTGTCTAACATCTGCTGCAAGGTGGTGAAGCTGTTCTTACTTCCAGCACAAACTTTTGTATGTTGTGAGCTCTTGGGCTTGCGCACAAATGCCAGGGGTTTATTGTCTTTTTAAAAAATAATTCCTAGTATCGTATTTATTCTCTGTCACAACTGCTGTCTTTACAATTAAGAAAACATCTGCATTTCTATCTTGTAGTGATTTCTTTTTAAATAAACTGTGCAAGTAGACTTTGGCATCACGTCCTTGTGTGTCTAGTCTTCTTTCAGGGCCACGTCCAGCCCAGGCTCCTGTTGGCCGTCGAGTCCCTGAAGTCGAGTTGGAAGTGGTAACCAGAGGGTTGGTTTTCACTCCAGGGCAGCTGAGAACTGAGGTTGTCTGTCAGCTGCTCTTTCGCTGCAAGTAAAACCTGTTGCTTACTTTCTCTTGCTTCCTAGAACCTTGAAACTCTGATGAGGGCCGATGACCCCTCCTTCCCAGGTATAATTCTGGAGTATCTGGGGGACCCCTGTCCTCTGAGAACACCCTGGGTTCCCCAGTGAGGATCATTTCTGTTTTTGCACAAACCCAAGACCTATTTAATTCTTCCAGGACAGGTCACCCTCTAACCTCCTTACCAGAGACAGTGGACATGAAAAAGGAATCGAGAGACTTATTGTATGACCTGGTGATTGTGCGTGTTGGTATTTATCCAAATAAACTGTGGACCTTTGTCCACACAAACACCCTGTACCCAAATATTCATAAGCAACTTTATTCATAATTGCCAAAACTTGGAAGCAACCAAGATCTTCTTTGGTCCATGAAAGGGTAAACAGACTGTGACATCCACCCGACAGAGTATTAGTTTTGTGATGAAAGAAATATTATTCGATAACTAAAAGAAATGAGCTATCAAGTCACAAAATTCTATGGAGGAAACAAATGTGTTTTGTTAAATGAAAGGAGCCAGTCTGGAAAGGTTGCATCTGTGTGATTCTAACTATGTGACATTCTGGAAAAAGCAAACCTATGAAGACAGTAAAAAGACCAGCAGTTGCAGGGTGGGGAGAATTCTCTATACGGAGAATTTTAGGTAATGAAACTGTATGATACTGTCATGGTAGATACACTCATTATAAAGTTGTCAAAAACCATAGAATGCACAACACTGGGAGTGAATCCTTATGTAAACTATGGACTTCAGTTAATAATAACCTATCAATATAGGCACGTCAATTGTAATGAGTGTACCACAGTAATGCAACATGTTAAAAATAGGAAAAACGAGGGGGAGCGGGGAGAGAGGTTTATGGAAACTCGGTATTCCCTGCTAAGTTCTTCTTTAAACCTGAAACTGCTCTTAAACAATAAAGTCTGTTAAAGAAGAAGAAAAAGAAGAAGAAGAAGAAGAGGAAGAAGAAGGAGGAGGAGGAAGGAGTGGAGACAACAGTATAATTACTTCAAATATTCATTTGCTTCTCTGTACAGTGAGGCCCATGTGAAATTGAAAACTCTTGATTGCAATGACAGAGAATGTAACGCAAGAGGACTTCAGGCAAAAAGGACAAATCCTGGGCCCTGTAACTTTACAGACCAGGGACAGGGCTTCTGGGCCCCGTCTTGGTCATGAAGTCCCGCAGATGTTGTGCCTTCCACGCCTCTCACTCACCATTTCCACCCTCCATCTCCCTGACCTTCACCGGTTCTCCCCTGGGTCTCTGCTGTACTTTCCTCGCCCTTGTTTGCCCTGAAGGTCCACCCTGTGGCTAGAATAGTTCTTATAAGCTGCAAATTCTTCTTCACAGCTCCCTTCAACTTATTGGCCCCCCATTTTGGGGATATGGTCCCTGCTCTCCTTTCCTGCCCCATCTTTTGACCCACCTCCTCCCCTCTCTCCTTCCGTATGGTCCAGTCCAGGTGGACATAACACCAAGCAGTTCCTAGGAAGTACGTCTGCCCCAGTTTCTGCCCCTGCTGTTTTCTCTGCCTGGCGCTTCCTCCCTCCCTCCCTTCCCCTGGCAAACTACTTCTCATTGTTTGTGGCTCAGCTCAGTGATTATCTTCAGGAAGGTTTTTTTAGAATTAAACTTATTGGGGTGACATTGACTCAAGTGAACAGTTCTGTGATATTTATACACCACCTGTGTATACATTGTAGGCCTGTTGCCCAAAGTTTAGTCATCCTTCATCACCATATACTGGACCCCTTCTACCCTCCTCAACTTTCTCCCCTCTTCCCTCTGGCAACCACCATACTGTTATCTGTGTCCACGAATTTTTGCTCGTTTGTTGCTTTCTATTGTACATCAATAGATGTACCATATTTCACCTATGAGTGAAATCATATGGTTTTTGTCTTTTTCCATCTGAAATATTTTGCTTAGCGTGATAGTCTCAAGATCCATCCACGCTGTTGCAAACCGCAGCATCTCATCCCTCCCCGCGGCTGAGCAGGGTTCCTCCGGGTGCCTGGACCGCATCCGCTTTCTCCAATCACCCACCAAAACACTCGGGCGGCCTCCGTGTCTTGGCTGTTGTGAATAATACTGCAAGCAACACAGGCGTGCATACATCTCCACAAATAAGTGTTTTCAAAGTTTTCAGTTAGATACTCAGAAAAGGGATTGCTGTCACGTGGTAGCTCTATGCTTCATTTTTTTTGAGAAAACTCCATACTGTTTTCAGGAAGCTTCCTTTTTTATTTTTTTAAGATTTTATTTTTAGAAAAATGGGAAGGAAGGGAGAAGGAGAGGGAGAGAAATATCGAGGTGAAAAATAACAATCGGTTGCCTCTCCGATGCGCCTTGACTGGGGACCGAACTTGCATCCCAGGCACCTGCCCTGACTGGGAATCAAACCGGCAGCCTTTCGCTTTGCGGGATGACGCCCACCCGACTGAGCCACCCTGGTCAGGGCAGGAAGCTTTCTTGACGCTTCCAGTCTGGGGAGGAGCCCCTTCTCAGGGTCCCAGTTTCACCTGGAGTGTTTCTCTGTTGTCTCCCTCCTGGCATTGCTCAGCAAGCACCCTTCTCCTTACTTCCTCCTCCTCCTCCTCCAGACTGAACTCTCTGAGGGGCAGGAAGTCTTTCTCGGCCACTGTAGTAGGGTGGGCATGCTGCCCAGCGGGTGGCAGGGACCTTCTGGCTGTTCGTTGCACAAGGGCTTGTTGGAGCAGAGCCACTGAGCCAGGGGCCTTCTAAGTGCCCTGGCACCTGGGAGTCTCACCTGAGGGGACAGCTCTGAAAGTGAGCACAGCGGAGGTTGTGGTGACATCATTCTCATTGGGGAAGTGTTGAGTCCACTGCCCAGAGGCCACCAAGCAACAGGGAAAACAAACATACAAACAAACAAACAAACAAACCAGTCTGCCTCTGCCCTCGAGTCTGTGGGTGTAATGGGATTTGGAGCCAGACACAAAGCTAGTAACTAGTCTCCCTGAGCCTCAGTTTCCTCACCTGTCCAATGGGGATAATGATTGTCTTTCTGGCAGATTCCATGCCTGGCCCATACTGTGTTTGGGACATACTGGTCCCCTCTGTGTCTTCCACCTTCCATGGCTGCAATTCTGTTTCCTCCTGAGGCCTGGGTCTCTAAAGTCACTTGCTGGGGATGCAAAGCCAAGGCGGCTCAGAAATGCTCAGTCCTGGCTGCTGCCTTGGCCTCAAGCCCAGATGCCCACTTGCTCAGCTTCTCAGTTCTTTGGAGGCCCCTTTCCCAACCAGCCTGGGGAGATTTCCGCCAGCCCACCTAGCCCCCTGGCATGCCCCCCGAAGCTGGCACTTGCTGAGCCTTCCCGGCCTGCTCATGTGACCTGATGCCTGGGGGCCTTGCCCCCAGTCAGATTGCTCCTTGCTCACCCGGCCCACAGACCAGGCCCGATTCTGACCACTTGCTGGGAGTGGCAGCCGGCAGTATCTGGACTACGTGTCCTCTGTAAAGAGAGGTGGGTTCCATCTCCCACCAAGATTTTAATTTTCCCCACGTGAAAAGTATTTCGGATGCAAAACTGTCATGTAAGAGTACCAGCTGTCCACTGCTGAGATACTTAGGAGCTTCGACCCAGGGATTTATGTATCCTATAGATAAATATAAATATGAACAAGGATATATTTAAAGGGCTACTCTCCACTGCACTGTCAGGAATGGCAAAAACCTGGAAACAACCAGCATGTCTATAAGCAGGGTATTGATTAAGTACAATATGGTGCATCCCTGCAAATGAACTCTGGTACACAGCCAGTTACAAAGGATGTAGAGGACGCCAAGACGGATTGTTTTTCAGAGAAGGGCCAGGGGCAGAGCGGCGTGCATAACAATGCCCAGCCTTTGTTTTATATGAGGTAGGAAGCCATGTCAATCGGGCCTTGTAGACTGAGCTGTGTGAGGCCAGTGACCAAGTGGATTTGGGGACAACCATAGTGTGCTCAGCCCTTGGAGGCGCTGAGGGTGAAGAAGCACATCATCCTTGTTTCTGCACACAACGTTTTGTAGAAAACCACACCAGAATCTGTCAGCGGCAGGCTACCTGGGAGGTGGAGAATCTGAGGGTCCTGGCTAGGTCTGAGGGCAATTTCAAGTTTTTCCTTCCTGTGTTTTGAACTCAAAAATATTTTAAGCCCGACCTGATGGGTGTGGCTCAGCGGGTTGGGCATTGTGTCACCAAGCAAAAGGTCTCTGGTTTGATTCCTGGTTGGGGCACATGCCTGTGTTGCTGGTTCAGTCCCCAGTTGGGGGTGTGCAAGAGGGAATCAATAGATGGTTCTTCTGCACATGGTGGCTTCTCTCCTTTTTCTCCCTCCCTTTCCCTCTCTCTAAAAATAAATAAATAAAATATATAAAATCATGAACACGTATTGTTTTACTACGGATGCTAATAGCTAATAAAAAAGAGAGGGGACACCCTGGTCACAAAGAAAGTGAGAAGAGCAGTTGAACGTGCATGTGGTCCCCCCCCCAGGGGACAGCCGAAATACAGAACCCTAAATCTGCACAGGCTCAGGAAAAAATGAGTAACATTTTGGGAACACAGTGTGGTGTGTTCATGTGAAATGATATGTTTACTCCAAGACAGTTTTTACAATTTGTCTTATTATATATCCAGAGGTTGTAAATAAGAAAATAGTTTAAAACATGCAAGTACTTTTATAATAAAAAAATGTTTTCAACCGTGAACATGGATCTCCCTCTAGGGTCAGCATCTCAGCAGCCTTTCCCTGACATTTGCTCCGCTCTCTGGCTTGGCACCTTTCCTCGCTTATT